ATCGGGGGGGGGGTTTAGTTTCCAATATTCTTTTATGAAATCGCGTCAGAACGAGTTCGTACTGATTTTCAGACGTTTTCAGCCCTATATAAGTTTGAGAAATAATGCGTTTACACGCATTCAAGAGTATTCCACTTGTGCGCATGCGTTACATTATTACTTTTTCTAACGCATGCTCACCCATGGTAGGGTATCAAAATTATCTCATGGGTAGTCGTAAAAAGCCCTGTGTAGTAATTAATAACAATTTAAGAGATTGCTCAACGGTCACTGTGATTCACAGCCACTTTTAGATAAAGTTGTCTATTGCTGTGCACTGATTATGTCAGATTAAGAATAGTTATCAAAGAGTGCTAGACATTTCGCGTGAATATTCATAGTCTTTCCAACTGTGATTTTAATAATATTAACGAAATCTGTTTAAGATCTCCCATCGTTCAACCAAACGAGTAATAGTGATCAGCACGTCAACTTAAAGCATTAGTCTATTTTTCATCTTAAACTGAGCAAAAAAACGTTGAAGACCAGACGAAGGAAGGGGGCGGATAAATTTTATAAAAGCTGATGGCATCATTCTTGACTAGTTCCTAATGCTTCAAGTACATCCGCAGAAAGCTGACATGTACTGACTTGCGCCTGTCGTTCCTATTCAACACCGCCGATTTTACAGCCCCTGATCCATAAGTCTGGATCTGGTTAAAGTACAAGCCCAACCACTCACTCTTCGCGCTGCTTTAATTATTTGTTTAAGTTTTTTGAAAAACGATACTGTAAGTATTAAATGTTGAAGATGAATTTCAGTAATATTATCATCTTTGTTATCAACAAGTCCTGTCAGTCGAAACAGATTACCTGGTATGATTAAAACTTCCTTCTCTTGCGGGAAATCGGATACATGATCGACAGCAAATATTGCTGAACGTACATGTGGTGTGTTGAATACAAACATGATACGTTTGTCACCGTTACTGTGCTTTGCAAAGTTTAATGCAATTTCACGGTTTTGAGACGTTGACTGAAATGTTTTTGTTGCAATAACTCCGTATTGATTATTTTCACACACAACTTTATATTATTGTAAATCTTCCGCTTTCATTGTCACACCGCGATACGATACACCTGTATAAGCTATTTGTGACAGTTCATTTTGTCTCATATCAAATTCTCGAACAAATCGATCGCATAATGCCGATGTACCATTCAAATCATTTTTAGTGTCATCACTCGTTATTGTTAACGCCAATCGTTCGTTTGACGTTTTATAAAATTCTCCTTCTCTTGTGTATAAATTGATTAATGGAACAACACTTTCACTTGTTTGAGCACTTCTTAGTGCATTTTTATTTTCATCATAGGTTTCGGCATCAACTTCTTTTAAAAATTCATCCAAATCTCGATCGGCATCTAGATCAAATAAACTGGCTTTATAATCACCTTCTCTTTCAGTCCCATCTTCATTCAGTGCCTCAGTTCTATCTATAAATCGACTAAATTTATGTGAAAACCAATCAAAAAATTTCAACCACATAACCATTGTTTGACGATTTGTGATATATTCCATAACATCTTTTTCCGGTTTAAACATCTGAATGTAATTACGATGTTGTGATTGTTCTGGTGTAAACATTTCAAATGATTTATCGAGGTTCTGTTCATGAAAACGTGTCCTTGATGAACGTTCGAACAATTGTCTCATTTCATCTGTTTGTATTTCATCATACGGAAGGTTACCGTGATTATTGTATACTGTTCGTGAGCATTGAACTTTAAATAATTCACTAACAATGTTAACATGATTATAGAATGTGGCTGCGTGTAGTGCTGTTGAACCGTTAGGCTCGACTTTATTTATCTCATCAACCGTCATTGTTTTCAACTTTTCTTGGACATATTCAATCCTACCGTTGCGACACGCAAAGTAAAAATCACTCGCTATACCTCGCTTTATCTTTTGGGAGATGGCATCATTCTTTCGACGACGTAACAAATCTTCGGCCGGACATGATTTACTGTGACTAGAACCCATTATTCAATCTGAAAATTAAATTCTTTCACCGTATAACGTTCTTTTAAAATAAAAATGGTTTGATAAACACGCTCATGTTTGAGAATAAGCTTGGAAGAAAAATGAGGTTCGCCTCAAGGCACCTTAATTTCTGGAAGAAAAAAGGCGTTCTGTTGAAGAAACACGATGTTCTAGCAGAGAAAAGCTGATGTTGTCGTGAGTAAATATGAAGTTCTCGACGAAAAAAGTTCCCCTGAAGAAACCCAAATTCTTGAGGAAAAAATATGAAGTTCTCCTGAAGACACCTTAATTTCTGGAGGGAAAGACGTGAAGTTCTCGTGGAGAAACACCAAGTTCTAGCGGAGAAAAGCTGAAGTTGTATTAAGTAAATACCAAGCTCTCCAGGAAAAAGTCGAAGTTCTCGTGCGGGAACATCAAACTCTCTACGAAAAGACATGAACATCTCATGGAGAGGCACCATTTTCTTGAGGAAAAAGGACGAGGCTCTCGCGGAAAAAAGATGGCGCTGTCTTGAAACTACGCCAAGTTCTGGACGACGATGTTCTCCTGAAGAAACCCCAAGTATTGTACCAGTTTTTTACTGAAAAACAATTACATGTATTCAAATATCCTAATTTGAAAGAGTCGAGTTAAGCATTCTAGTGAAACAGTCTGCTGAAGTTGCCTCAAAATCATAGCAAACCGTCTCTTGCATTTATTTGCACATGACTGGATAGAACACATCGAACTGAGTAAGAAAAAGCAGTTTTTAACGTTTTCAAAATTCTCTTAAGGAAGAAAAATTGAAAAAACTCGAAGAGTACAAAATTTCGAAAGCTATCAGGTTTCAAGAAAATTGAAAATTTTTCCTGTTTGTTCTAACTTTTCGAAAGTACTTTTTCGGAGTGAGCATCAAAAACTGAGTATGAGAATGATGCTTGATCGAGATAGAAGTCAAAGATCTATCCAGTACGGAGGTTTTCCACTCTGCTTGTGAACGGTTCCTGCGCAGTTTTGCAAACCTAGCTAGTTTCTTTTATCAAGAGATGAAGTCGACCGTTTTATTTCATTATAATAACCGCCATTTCTCGGTGACAAAACAAAATAAAAAAAGCGATTCGTAATTTTAAAACTAGTGTAATGGCGGTTATAATGAAATAAAACGGTCGACTTCATCTCTTGATAAAAGAAACTAGAGAGGTTTGCAGAACTGTGTAGGAACTGTTCACAAGGAGAGTGAAAAACCTTCATACTGGATAGATCTTTGACTTCAACCTCGATCAAGCATCATTCTCATACTCAGTTTTTGATGCTCACTCCGAAAAAGTACTTTCGAAAAATTAGAAGAAACAGAAAAAAATTTCAGTTTTTTTGAAACTTGATAGCTTTCGAAATTTTGTACTCTTCGAGTTTTTTCAATTTTTCTTCCTTAAGAGAATTTTGAAAACGTTAACAACTGCTTTTTCTTACTCAGCTCGATGTGTTCTATCCAACCATATATAAGATGAAAAATAAATTTTGCTCGAATTTTCAATTAGCGACACGTTACTTTTCGTTTGTTATTCTTATTTCGTCCGTTTTCGCTAGTTGTTCGTTTATTAAGATCACATTGCTCAAAATACGTTTTCTGTATTCTCTAAATGAATAAAGTTATCTCTGAAATACTGGCATATTATGCTCTAACAAGAACATTGTTTTTTCTACTTTTTCAATTTTATTTCAAATTTTAGTATTTTTCTTTTTCATAAGTTCAGTGTGCTTACTTTCGAATATCACTGTCTTTAATGAAATATCATTGTAAGCTAGCTTTTTTTGTTCGTGCGTCAGTAGTGTCAAGGGCTATTGACACCTACTAGAGGTGTCAGCAATGGCTATTGATACCACCATCAGAGGTGTCACGAAGGGCTATTGACACCTATTGGAGGTGTCAATAGCCTCAATGGAGGTTGATGGTGTCAATAGCCCTTCGTGACACCTCTGATGGTGGTGTCAATAGCCATTGCTGACACCTCCAGTAGGTGTCAATAGCTCTTGCTGACACCGCGTGGTGGTGTCAATAGACTCATCCATTAAATAGCCGGTGGTCAGCCTTTGTTACACACACCTATGTGACAAGACAACAACGCGATTACATTAAAAAAATCAAATTAACTTCTAGTTTTAGTACATTCGTTGTGATTCATATGAACTTCGCGAAGAATTTCTCTTTCGTGGTGCAAAAGGAAATCCAATCAGCCTATTGGAACCAGAAACAAGCCACCTTATACACAAATTGTGATCAACGTCGGTAGTGATCACCGCAATATGGTTATTATTTCGAACCGCATGGTTCACGACACAACGTTTGTGTATTGTGCTCAGCGATTAATCGTGAAATTTATTCGAGAAGAGTATCCCGCCGTTCACAAAATAAACTACGTTAGGTATAAAATTACTTTATTTTGTCAGTATTTTCTTGACGTGCCTTATTTTCTATTTAGTGATGGTGCACCATCTCAATATAAAAATAATAATAATATAATGAATCTTTCTCTTCATCAAAAAGATTTTGCAATTAATGTGGTGTGGACGTTTACTAGCTCAGGTCATGGCAAGTCCTCTTGCGATGGATTGGGAGTTGTTGTAAAAGTAACCCAGAGCATTATATTTTAGGACAGATAGTACACGATTGGAAATAATATTTTTCCAGAGGAGTAGAGCTGAAACTACAAATGATATAAAAATTTATTATATACCAAATTAATGTTCATCTAAAATGGAATTGATGTGTATGACTGATATTCTGTATGACGATTATTGACTGTAGAACTATGGAAGTTTCTATCGAGTGCGTCATAATGGTTAAATTCTGGGTGTAGCAGTGCTTTGAGTAAAAGTCCCGTAACTTCAACAAAACAAACGCTTTTTCGATCGGGTTTGTTTTGTTTTGATCAGGAATGATTGCTTTTTCTACGACTAATTCTGAAATCAAAACATCGATCAGGTTTTCCATTTCTTACTTCGGCACATTGCTGAAAATGAGGAAAAATTTTTGAAACTTAGTTCTCCAGCCCACCATCTGCTCTAAAAAACATTTTTCAC